TTTTTGGGATATTTTCCTGAATATCCCAACACTTTCATAAAATTAGAAACTTCGTCTGAATATCTAGTTCACCTTTATCAGTGAACTTTACAGATGAATAAAAGAAAGAGCAACAGAATCTCATCAACAATGACGAATATCCGAATTGAATAAGATGAGTTCATTTTCACTAGTTAGGTTAGCTTGTCTGATAGGTATATAAATATATATAATTGGTGACATGGAAGAAGTACTTGTCCACCTCTGTTTATACTATAGAACATGTTATCACTTGTAGGATTGGCCGCTTGGATATAACTAAGAAGCCCTTTATTAAAGTGTTTAACCTTCTACTGATTTCTCATACAACACCTTCAAAATAAAGATTAATATAGACTGGTTTTCTGGTGACTGAAACCACAGTCAACTTGTTTACAGCGTTTCTGTGCTTCTCAATGAAATTTTAAGGGTATTAGCTGTCTCTTAGTATCTCTTCGACAATTGTCAATTCTCCCGCTTTAACTGGGTGATATACATCATTTCAGTTCTATGATATAGTGTTTCGACCAATGACTGCTTGTGATTGCTAGACAAAAGCTATTATTTCCAATTGTAAACCATTTCATGTACACTTGAGATAAACCGAACGTTGAAGTAAGATATTATCTTCTTCAATAGATAATATTTATGTGTCGGGTAACATCGATGAAGGTTCTACACAACCGTTGATACAATTGTCAAAAATGCTCTATAGTGGAGATTCTAGATCCTTAGAGCTCACTTGGTACATATCTTAACTTTGTAACTTTATTTTAAAAATTCGAATTCTTTTTTGTTTTTGTTATGATTCTCTCTTACGTCATAACCTAGCTATTCCTATTGCTTAGTATTCTTGGACACCAATTCACTCGACAAGTCCCCAAATCAGAACACGGTTTAACAGGAAAGAGATTATATTCCAAATAACAAAGTTAGATGGAAGTAATTAGCATAATAGGAAAAACGTTAGTATATTTATACTTTTTACATGAAAGCATTTCTAGAGTATTCTTCAAGTCCCGACTAACACAGATTGGGCAACAGTTAGCCAATCAGCGTGCACCAAAGCAATCGGGCATTGAACATGCTTTAATCCAATCTACGTCCCGCTATCAGTTCTCGTGCCAAAAAGCGCTCGTTTTCACCTTCCTATCGTATTTCCCACTTGAGAGGACGTTGAATGTCATTGGTCACGCTCCCCAAGGACACATTTATGCTATATACATATGTGCTTCTGGCTGTTTTCGGAACACATTTTTCATCTACTGAACCTGGACGTCTCTCTCTAGTTGGTGAGTATTAGACACACCGGAATAATTAGCTTATTTGATCATTCTGTCACTGAGTTTTTTCCTGTTTGCAGATTTTAAAACAAGTTATAGATGTTTCAATTCCGCTTGGTGGTATTCTTTACTTGTATCTTCCCATTCATGTTTAGAATGACAATTGATCAGTCTCTCATTGATATATATGTGCATACTGTGCGTATTACTTCGATATTACCTTACGTCACGAGCTTTATAAGCAAAGATGAATGACGGTTAGCAATGGAATCCAGGACAAAACGCGTTTCGTTCTATTTGGGACTCGTCGGTTGGATGTACCTGCATCTCAGAATTGACATTCACTGTGAGACTGGAACCCGGTAACGTACATTCTAGACAATACAGTGTCTATGTCCAATACACTGTCGGACACCCGATTGTAGCTGCTACCTTGACGTGGTGGTCGAGCTTGTCTATTGTGATGACCCATTCAAGCTATATTGGCTGGAACATATGTTCCTGTAGGTTCTACCATGCCAGGAAGGTCAATTTGAGAACGGTAGGATTAAAAGCAACAACTCAAGGTCTGAGGGCGAAGTCGTACAGCTGACTTCGTGTACCTGAAAGCCCTCATGCTGTTTCCCGTGGTCTCGCTGGTGTAGGTATAGCATTGAGTCCTATCTCTCCTAGACAGTCACTTGTGCACTGTCAGACTAAACGGAACAGTAATGACTCGGAAAGATAGGGACACACGTCGTTGCTCTTCGTCGTCTCTGCCTATTCTCCCACTGACTGACACTGTTGGACAGACACATGATGAAGACGTACAATCGATTACAAAAACTTAGACTCCAATTTAAGCTGTGTCGGATGCGATGTTTGTACAAACTTGATAACTGACTGATTTCCAATTTCCAATACAATATGCTTATATCGTTCTTTTTGGTTAAATTGAGTTACTTTGGGATTCCTAGTTTGTATCCTAATTCAAATACTCCTAATCATCACAGATTCTTTCTATTGACAGGCCTATAAATCCAGATGAGGCAATTTTAAATAGAGAATGTTGTTTCATGTGAAATTACTACAATGTTTCTTAAAAGGGATGAGAATAAAACTACATTCCCATGAGTAACACTTCTATCATTAAAAAGCTATTGAAGATATATACATCGCTGTCCAATAATATAGATGGATTACGAATGATTGTCAATAAAGTTATGATCTTGAATTAGACTAGAATTGCCCATACCTCTAACACTCATTACTTTGCAATCTAGTCTGCTGATCATTCGTTAATATTAAAGATAGAATATCTCATTTCTAACGTGATTTAACTTCACTGGTATGGATTATCATTCAAAACTCGAGCACTAAACTTGAAACAGGTCACTAGTAACTCCAAAACTACGTATATGTTCGTATCCCTTCTTGAGTATTCATTTAATTTATCACTAGTATACATTACGGAATACAATAGACAGTTTGGATGCAAATAGACGATTCGGACTTCACAAATAACCCGGCCCTTCTATCCCATACACACCGACAAACGCAGATCAAGGCAACAAGTATAGCAGCGGCCTATGCATCAGTAGGCCTCAACATACACAAGAGGAAAAACAAGATCCTCAAATACAACACAGAGAACACAGACCCAATCACACTTGAGGAAGAAACTCTGGAAGAAGTGGAATCTTTCACGCACCTGGACAGTATCATCAATGAACGTCGAGGATCCGATGTAGACGTAAAGGTGAGGATTGGCAATGAAATAACAGCATTCCTACAGTTGAAGAATATATGCAACTCAAAACAATCTTCAACCAATATCAAAGTCACAATCTTCAATATGAACATCAAGACAGTTAGTTCTGTAGTACGGAGCTGAAATCTTGAGAACTTCCACAACCATCATCAAAACGGTACAGGCATTTATGAATAGTTGTCTACGCAAAATACTCAATGTCCGATGACTGAATACCATCAACAACTGTCTACTATGTGAGAGAACAAACGAACTTCCAGTTGAATAGGAAAAGACGTTGGAAGTGAATAGGACACACATTGAAGAAATCATCAAACTGCATGACGAGGTAAGCATTAACTTGGAATCCTGAAGTGAAACGGAAATGAGGAAGACCGAATAACACACTGTGCCAAGAATTGGAAGCAGACATGAGAAGAATGAGTAGCAATTGGCAACAAGTATAAATGATTGCTTATGAGAGGGTTGGATGGAGAATTCTGGTGGACGGCCCACGCTGTTTAGATGTAATCTTAAGGTTACTAGAAGATCTTGGGGAAACCGAATCAATCATTCAATTAGAAGACTTAACAAAGTTAGTATTCACGAATAATCACTCATTCATATGCCTCCGAATGCCCTGGTACGGCTGAGAGTGGGAAAAGTTCGCTCTCCCTCTCCAAATGCTCTCACATGGCCACGCGTATATAGCCTCCGCCAGGGAAGTCCTACTCATTGCCTTCTCGTGGCGGGGGTGTTGTTTACGAAAATGAGAAGACGAGAAGCGAATGTCTGGCGGTTTAACCGGATTTCATACCAATGATGCCCATGGGTTGGCTCCAGTATCCTGAAGGAACAAATGGCGTATGAACCAATCGTCGTTCACCGGCTACCATGGAACTCCATCTCCTTACGTTGCTCCATTGCTTTATGGATCAGACATTCAGGTCAAAGGTTCGGGCAGTGGCCCCCTAAGAAAAACAAACAGTTTCAGTCTGGGCACCCGAGCTGTATCACAGCTCTCACACATATCGAATGAGATTTGTGTGGCGCATATGTATTTGCTGCCTCTTTGTACTAATATCTATGTGTTTAAATAAGTAATAATAAATAAAAACTCATGAATATGATAGTTTTTATTTTATTTTATTTTATAAATGATCTATTTACATAAAGAATCATATTTGTACAATTTCAATGAAATTAGATTCATAAACTAAGAAATTAGAAAAAGAAAAGATTACAAAATATTAGAAAGAAGATTAATAATTGAATTCATGAGTCAATTAAAACTAGATCATCATTTTAAAAAAAGCCTGAAAGCATTGGACAACCATTTCGTCCTAATATGAGACTTCTTCAGTAGTGAACACTTATAATCTTACTCTCAAGATTAGAACCTAAAAACTTTCAGTCTCATCCATGAACATTTAACCTCTGATTGACTAAGCTAACACCCTTAAAACTCAACTAATCTAAAACTTTCAAATTTGAATCGTACAAATAAGATCATAAATGTGTACTGTTAAAGTATCACATATCAAAAGATGAGATGATCATCCAATACTTTTACATTTTCAATAATGCTTTAATTAACTCATCAATTCAACTATTAAAAGAAAAATAAGTACAATCTTCATAAAATCCACTTTCTTTATAAATGAAAACAGGAGATTCATTGAATAATCATATATTATTTAGTTCATAATTGATCGTGAATTGAATGATTGCTACTACTACTATTATTATTATTATTATTAGTAGTAGTAGTAGTAGTGGTAGTAATAGTATTAATAGTAGTAATAGTAATAGTAGTAGTAATAGTAATGGTTATAGTAATAGTAGAAGTGGCAGTAGTAGTAGTAGTAATAGTAATAGTATTATTATTATTAGTAGTAGTAGTAGCACTTTTAGTAATAGTAATAGTAGTATTAGTATTAGTAATAATAATAGTAATAGTATTGTTATTATTAATAATAATAAAGTAATAAAACTTGATTATTCACTAATAATTCATTATTTAATTGTTTTTTATCATAATATAAATTTTTTGAATCATATACTACTTTTAATTGAGATAAACTACTGATATCATAAAATATAGATTGAAATGGTATTCTAGTATTTAAAGTTTGAAAACTAACTATAAAATAAATACGATAAATTGTATTAATATAATGACGATAAATAATCAATAAATTATAAGTTATTTTAGGGATATAACTGATTAATTGATTTTTATCATTAGGGGTATTTAATAATGTAATACTATATGATTTGTCTATAAATAATTTCCAATGATATAAACGTTGTTTACCATTATTGATTAAATTTATATTAATTGGCCAATAAGTATTATAATCGAAATAATTATCATATGACCATTTGATCAGTTGATGATTACCAGTAGTCTATATATATACACACACACACAGAGAGAGAGAGAATGAATGATAAAAAAAAGAGAAAAGAAAAGAGAAACAAAACATCAAGTATCAACAAAGATGGACAATGTGTTTAATAGTGCAATCCAGGGGATTAAGCATGTTTTCATCCTATTGACGACTCTTCAGCTGAATGTACCTATCATATCTTAGAGTTAATGTTTACTCCAAGACAAAATATTTAATATAAGCAAAGATCGATAGTGTGTCTAACAATGGAGTCTAGGATAAAGTGTGTGTTTCATCCTATTGACGACTCTTCAGCTGAATGTACCTATCATATCTTAGAGTTAATGTTTACTCTAAAGACTGGAATCTAGTAACCGTTCATTTCAAATGATATTGCATTATTGATTCACCTATTAAGTCTTGATAGCCACTTGTTTGTGTAATGGGATGCATTTTAAATTCATTTGATTGATTAATTATAGTCTTAAATCTCAATGAGAAGATACAAGCAAAATAATATCAAGAGAATATCTAGTATATTTATAAAACAATTAAATATTAATGAAAGCGCATATACGCCACACAAATCTCATTTGATATGTGTAAGGGCTGTGATACTGTCCAGGTGCCAAAACCGGAGCAGATTGTTTTCTCAATGGGCCACAATCGGAGTCTTCGACCTGAAGGTCTGATCCACAAGGCAGTGGAGCAATGTAAGTAGATGTGGTCCCATGGAAGCTGGTGACCAACAATTGGTTCATACGCTATTTGTTCCTTCAAGACACTGGAGCCAGCCCATATGCACTATTGGTTTGAAATCAGGGTTTTCCAACTTCCCTAGGTGGACTCTCCATGTCCACCAACCTCGTTAAAGCGCTGGACATTCGTTTTTCGTCCTCTCAATTTCGTAAGCAACATTAATGTCACGAGAAGGCAATGAGTAGGACTTCCCTGACAGAGGCTATATACGCGTAGCCATGTGAGAGCATTTGGAGAGAGAGAGCAGACTCTCCCCACTCTCGGCCGTACCAGGGCATGTGGGGGCAGAGAGAGTTGAAAAACATTGATAACAAATCAATTAGTGTACATAGTGTTTAGAATCCTGAAGTAAAAAAGGTGACGTATGAATCTATTGTTGGTGATTGAATCTCTTGACATTACTTCATTGATTTGTAGATTAGAGTATCAGCTCAAAGGCTCTGGGTGTCCACAGTATGATTTGTATGGAAATACAGTCTGAGACGATTGATTGATATTTTGCAAATGAAGTATTTACTGTATGGTTCTCCGATTTTACTAAGAGAATGTGTAATTAGTTTGCTCAAATATATTTTATTATCCCTAGTTGTGTTCTCGTTCACTACAGTATATCTTAGTCTTTTATTCCAATACACTAAGTTTTAATTTATAGCGCATCAACAGAATATATTCACGGACAACTGTTTCACATGAGAATAGTGGGTATAAAACTTACTCCCTATATTTATTGTTATTTGAGATTCGTCAAAAAGAATACCACTACAGTTATTAAGGAAACTGATGTTTTCTGGAGGACTTCAAACCACTCATGTGTTTAGGCTTATCAAAATTGAACTATTCATAATGCAACTAGAAGCCTTCAGGAATAGGTAGTGAATATTTTTTATAATTATCTAACCTTATAGTACTGATCGAATTCTACTAATCATTATAAATATCTCATTCTCGAAGAAAGTTACTCCCAGCCCGGAAGTTCACCAGTTATGCCTTAGTATATAAAGCTTCTTGATCCACAGTTTGAATGCAATAGGAATTATCAGTTCCTCCAAGGTTTTAATATGCCTTGTCAATAGGGTACGACAAATACTCCCAAACCATGAAATCTCTAAACGTTATCCACACGAAGTTAAGTCACTTCAGTTAGTGATCACTTTGTAAATTGACTCAACTAACTTATATCAATATATAGGATTAAACTAACATGACATTAACCATTACTGAATATTCTATCAATTCCATTAGAAGATGAAGTACGTGATATTACGCAACATATGCTCACTAGTGACGGTCTCCAAGAAGTATATCCTAGAGTTCTAGTGAGAAACAGTGACCAATGGAGTTCAACCAGGTCTGTTATGAGATAGTAACTGTTGGGGACGATAGATCCCCAAAACCCATATTTTGTAATTTCATCTTATCGATTAACTTATCGATTAAATGTGCAAACAGGTCAATCGATGAACTTATCGATTAAATATTTAAATAGCAGTCAATTGACGAACTATTTGGTTAGTGTTTAAAAATCTTCCATGACAATATCGATTATAAATATTTGTATAAATACGCTTGACTTGTGTGCCTGTTTTACTTGATTGATCTGATCTGATCTGACCTGACTCGGTATCTGCTGTTTGCCTATAGAATACACTTTATACGTCTTACCCAGACTTCTTGATCGAGTTATCTGAGTCGGGGACAACGGATCAGAGTAGCCTATCGAGATTTTGAATCCCTTGATCTGATCGATAAGTCACTGCCCTCTAATCGGTGGCCTTTTGAGATATAACAGTAACTCACTGAACACAATGGTGAATGTGTCGCTCAAATTCATGGATTATTTAAAGTTAAACATTAACATCATTGAATGCCGTCCATCTCAGTGGTCTAGTGGTTAAGCGCTCGCACGCGAGACTGATAGGTCCTAGGGTTCAAATCTCGCGTGGGGTGGGATCGTGGATGCGCACTGCTGAGGAGTCCCATAGTAGAATGAAACAGTCCTCCAGTGCTTCAAGTTTTTCCGTGGTGGTCTAACTTCAATTAACTCATAATCTCAACTATGAAAAATAGGTGACAATTCTATTCCCTATAAAGTCAAAAAAACAAACCATTGACTTACCAAATCAACTTCTTGTCCAGCTAACATTAAATAACTACCTGGTAGAAAATATGCTAATTTTTGAATGGTTTCAAAATCTTTATTATCTTCACTTAATTGATGAACTAACCAGATTGGACTACATTTTCTTAATTGTGTATTATTCATAGCTTCATAAAATAAAATAAAAAGTGGAAAGACAAATTACGTAATATGTAATGAAGAAGATGAACTGGTCAATGAGAATTCGAATCTTTATTGACTTAGTTGATTAGGGTATATGTTCAGTTTTACTTACCCATGTCTATTTCGTTAGTGAATGTTTATTGGTATAGAAATAAGTTGGAATAAAGCTAAGATTCACTTGGTATCTTCCCATTGATGTTTAAGACTGCAATTGATCAGTCTGTTATCGGCATATGTACATATTGTGTGTATGCCTCGATATTGCTTTAATTCACAACCTTTTTGTAAGCAATGATGGATAGTGGCTAGCAGTGGAATCCAGGAAGCGCGTTTCGTCCGATTTGAGACTCGTCAGTTGGATGGGAAGATACAAGCTAAACAATACCAAGTGAATTTAAATTCACCCCATTGAACAAGCAAGTGGCTATCAGGACTCAACAGCTGAGTGGATATCGCGATTGCGTTTGAAGCGAATGGTACTGGGTTCGAGTCCAAGAGTGAACATCAACTCTGAGATGCAGGCACATTCAGCTGACGAGTCCCAAATAGGACGAAACGCGCGTCTTCGATTCCACTGCTAGCCACTATCCATCATTGCTTACAAAAAGCTAAGATTGACCAAATGAATATACAGGGTCAGTATGTGAAGTTAATGACTGCTGAACTGAACCATATTAGTATATACAAGCTACAAAGTTGAAATTATTGAAACCAATGGTTGGAGACATTGGGTGACATGGATCAGAATTGATGCAGATTCATTTAATCCTTTCACTTTAAAAACTGACTAATACTTTTTATTCTTCCTTCTCGAAACATTGTCTCTATTTAGTGGTTTCTTCTAACACTAATATTGTTACTAATTTCGAGACTCGGATATCTGTTCTAATAATTTCATTTCACTGTTTCAATGTTGTATGGTAAGTTGACTTAATGCTCATAAATATCAGATTCTGCGTTTTATGTGACTAACTGATTGATATCAGGTAGGAGCGTTAGTTAATTAATAAAAAGTTAGACATTAACACCGTTGAATGCCATCCAACTCAGTGGTCTAGAGGTTAAGTGTTCGTGCGTGAAACCGATAAGTCCTGGGTTTGAATCCCGTGTGGCAAGGTCGTGGATGCGCACTTTTGAGGGATCCCATAATAGAACGGAACGGTTCTGGTTGTCCAGTGCTTCCAAGTTTTTCATAGTGGTCTTGCTTTAATTGACTCATGATATCAACTATTGAAAAACTAGTCAGGATTCGTTCAATAATACAATGCGTCGTATTCAATCAGGCAATCACATTATTAAGATAGATAGATCCTGTAAAATGAAGTTATGAATTAAAATTGAATAAAATTAAAAATCTTGAGAAACGTAGTAACTAAGATGAAGAGGGTAATAATAAATTAAGAGAATATAAAAAACTTCTGTACATGTGTTTTAAGTTTATTAATCTGTATTCTAGTAGCTACTAATGTATGTAAGAGCTGGACTCTAGGGACTTAGAGAAAGTTCATTGCCATTTCATGGATAACTTTCATAGTTGAACTAACTGGGATCAGCTAAATTCCCCAAGATAGAGTTTCTTCTTATTTTATTTTGACTCTTGGTTAACAATATAGAAGTTTTTCTTAAATACAATATATTTGTTTTAGATATACATAACGTGATCCTCAAGAGTAGTTAAATTGGTTCTTTTGAATGCTCTACAGATAAAGATGGATAGTGGCTAGTAGTGAAATTCAAGACAAAGCTCATTTCGTCCTATTTGGTACTATTCAGCTGGATGTACCTGCATCATAGAGTTGATGTTCATTCTAGGACTCGAACCTAGCTTCAAACGCCATCGTGTTATCCACTTAACTACTGAGTCATGATAGCCACTTGATTGTACAATAAGGTGAAGTTTAAATTTACTTGTTTATCAGGACTTGGTAGCTAAGTGAATAACATAATGGCGTTTAAAGCGAACGGTACAGGGTTCGAATCGTGGAGTGAACATCAACTCTGAGATGCAGGTACATTCGTCTTTGCTTATAATTCTTGTGGTTTAAGACAATGTCGAGGTAATATGTACAGTATACATATATGCCAATAAGAGACTGATGAATTGCAGTCTTAAATGTGAACAGGAAGATTCAAGTAAACAATACCAAATGAATTTATATTACAAAAAATGAAATTATTCCAATATAAAACTAAATTACCTTGTCGAATTTGTGAATCTATGTCATCACTTCTTGTTGGTACACGAATATTTATTGTAAGTGTATGTAAACAAACTTTCTGTTCCATATTTACCATGGCATCAATTTTTGGTTCATCAGCAAACCATATGAATTCATCTGAAAGAAGTGAGATATGAAAAACATAACTAAAGTTGATAGATGAAGCATTTTGTAAGATCATGAAATGATTAAAGTTAGACACCAACTATGTTTAATGGTGGATCAGTGGTCTGGAGTTTAAATCTTCGAGTACAAGACCAAAGGTTCTGGGTTTCAGCTACAAGTGAGAGATTGTGGATTTGCACTATAGTGAAGTTCTATACTACATTGAAGTGGCTATGCAGTGCTCTCAAGTTTTTAATAATGGGCGAACTTTGATTGACTGGTCCTTTCAACTATGAAAATATATGTTATTAATGTAAAGTTATGATGAAAAAAACTATTTGATTAGAAATATTTCGTTCGCCTTATTCATCTTGATTTGCCAGATTATTGAATGGGGAATCCCGTTCAAGATTGGTTGGTTACATTACATTCAACACATATAAAGTCAGAAGAAATAAATTAAGGGGGAAGGTGTTCCACTTGATGTATCAACTACTATTATACGATTTACTATTCTTAAGATGTTCTCAATTTATTAGTCACATTCTCTCACAATCACAGTCACTTCTGGCTTGGATTTGTATAGTTCTTATTTTCTATGTTATGGAATGATGCGGTTTGATTTGCTTGTATATAGACCAAGTATATCTGAACTACACGAATCATATAGCGGAGTCTGATATTAGTGTTCTGTAATGAACCGCCTGAATTAGGTGAGAAGCTATTATCTCAAAGATCTAATAAGAAATCAGAGTTGACTCTAGGATGCTCGCAATGGTTTATGCGTCATTCATCTGGTCAGTAACTTGGTGTTCCAATTGGCGGTAATATCGTGTGATATATTCTCAAGGTATAAGGACATAACAGGTTACATCACATTCAATACATATAAAGTTAAAAGAAATAAATTTAGGTGATAATAGGCATATTTAAGTAATGAATCACCACTGAATAAGTAATTGTCAAATCCTATTTATGTAGCACAAATATTGACAAAGTCTGATACTTTAACTAATGAAATATGAAAATAGATCATAGAATTGCAAATGTATTTTAGGCAAGGCTATAATTAATGGAAGACCCGATCAGGTATAAGATAACAGGTCTCGGAATTTGGTGCGAAATTCACGTTTATTGGCATTTTAGATGATCAGTATAGGGGGCGAGACTAATTTATGGAGGAGACAATCAGAAGTGTTTGTGAGATTTCAAGGTCACAGCGCAATTTCAGTACCTGGTGCTCATGTACGATCGGTTTACAACGGATTTTAGGGACGACGTGATAATTGAGCGGCTACAACAGATGAGACTACTAAGAAGTTCCTTTATTTGTGAGTGCGGTAATCAAATGGAACAGTAGTACGGATGCGGCAATGTAAAAGAGGACGTAATATTAGGGAAGATTGGGTAAGTAGCACTTCCTTAAGCATACCTCACAGGTACTTGGAATTTATGACAGATCAATGCAAAAGGGACATTTTCAAAGGGTCAGAAACCGACAAGCAACCACAATAATACCAATTATACAGGAATACGTGCAGCCGGGCACTACGATATATACAGATGATTGGAGAGCGTATAGATGCCTACAGAGACTTGAGTATGTGCATCATGTCGTTGTGCACAAGCGCCATTTTGTCGACCTTACAACTGGCGTTCACACTAATAATATTGAAGCCATGTGATCCAGGCTCCAGAGGTCGACTATTATGAAGCCATACGGAATAGTTCTTATACCATATGCACTACGATTTCAGAACCTCTTCCAAACTCTGATAAGTTTTCGAATCATGTAAGAGAAGAATATCCATTTTAATTGTTTAGTCTTTTATAATATTTTTCTTCATACTAACTGTCTTCTGATTGGCTAACATTTCTCAAGGTCACTTAAGATTCGTTCATTCAACAGTGTTAATGTCTAACCTCAACCGATCCACGGAATTGCGCGACCATCTTCCATTGTACCGATGAAGTAGATACCTGTCTCTACTCGACACGGATTAGCTGCATTGGTCACGGCTTCTCACTAGAACTCCGAGAATTCTCTCACGAAGCTAGTCACTAGTGAGAACACGTATTCCGATCCCGCCAGTGAGATCGTAGATGCTCACTATTGAGGAGTCCCACAATAGGACGAAACTACCGTCTAATGCTTCCAGGTTTTCTATGGTGGTCTAACATCAATCGGTTCATGATCTTAGTCAAAAAATTTTAGATTATGTCAGTTCGTAATGAAAACTCTTAATCTAATTCCTAACCCTACGTATCAACTGTAAATCGTAACTCTAATTCCTCATACTGATTTATAACCTTTATTTGATCTTAATTATTGGATGGACAATCTCATGGTCACTACACTAGCGTCACTTAAAGGTCGTTCATAAATTACAGTCTCAACTTCTTTTCTTCTTAGATGAGTTCAATGATAAAATTACAATTCTTATCTGTTGTTACGTAAAGATTTGAACATTCCGTTAAAAAATATACACTGTCTTTATCAAAGACTTTATTTAAGTATTGAGTATAGGAAGAAACCTGGTATCATTAGAATCCAGGACATACGTTTCGTCCTACTTGGGACCTGTCTGCTGGATGTGCGTGCATGAGTTGGTGTCCGCTCCGGGACTCGAACCAAGTACTACTCGCTTCAAACGCCACCACCCTATCCACTCAGCTACTGAATCACGACAGTCACTTGCCACTATCCATCATTGCTTACAAAAACCTTGTAAATTAGGGCAATATGGAGGCATACGCACAATATGTACATATGCCAATAACAGACTGATCAATTGCAGTCTTAAACCTCAATGGGAAGATACAAGTCAAACAATACCAAATGAACATGATATCATTAGTTGTTAAATAAACTAACATAAAATAGCGATTATGTTGATAGTTGAATAGAAGATGCAATGAAAGCATTCTTTTTACTCTCCAATAGAAATCAAAGAAATTCAATCAAATACACATTGAAATCAATGTTAGATTTTGAGAAATTATGTATAAATTCATTGTGAATTTGTTTCATATTCAACATTTATATTTATAATCAGAGAGAGGTTTTGTGAATATTATAGTAAATTAGTAGTTGAATTTGTGTGTCAATTGAAGCTAGACCACCATGAAAAACCTGGAAGTACTAGACAGCCGTTTCGTTCTAGTATGGGACTCCTCAGTAGTGCGCATCCACCATCCTGCCTCGTGAGATTTCAACCCAGAACCTATTCGTCTCACGCGCGAGCGCTTAACCACTAGACTTGAAGTTAAACATTAACACCATCAGATGCCGGCTCAGTGGTCTAGCTTCAATCGACTCATGAATTCAATTATGAAATTTATATTTATGCTACAAAATTAGGTTAGATGATTAAAAATTTACTAAACATTCTGTGTCAATCGTCTAAAGATTCATTACGTGTCAAGAAGTAGGATAGTTATAAGTCTAATCATATGTGGGGTTACAGGCACTCGCAAGTAAAGAATATCAATCTAGAATAAACAGATATGATGTGTATATCTGTTCATAATGAAATTCAATTTGGTATTGTTAATGAAAATACTTCAGGAAGAAGCGCTGGAAGTAGATTGGACACACATTGAGGAAAGCACTTAACTGAGTCACATGTCAAGCCATCACATGGAATCCTCAAGGCTAAATAAAGGAGAAGAAGACCAAAAAACACACTTCACCGAGAAATGGAGAGAGATATGAGAAGAATGGACAATTGAATAGAACTAGAAAGGAAAGCCTAGGACAGAGTGTGTTGGAGAATGCTGGTCGGCGTTCTATGCTCGATTGGAATTAACAGGCGTAAGTAAGTAATGAAAATACTTATTACTTTTAGTTAGAAGAGAGTATTACAACTGATTATCCAAAAGCTATTACCTCAATAATAATGAAATAATAAAATATGAAAAAAAAATTATACGTTCTCTACGACCCGATGGAATTCTCTGTCAATACTTCATTGACATCACAGTCAATATTTTCACTATAGGAAATGAACAGTTGTCTATGCAAGATACTCAATATTCGTCAGCCAGATACCATGGGCAACAACCTACTGCGGGAGAGAACAAACCAGCATCCATCTGAATAGAAAAGTTGGAAAAGGTGTTAGAAGTGGATAGGATATACAAATCGTATCACGAAATAAGCGCTAACTTAGGATCCTGAAGAGTAACGGAAATGAAGAAGGCCAAAGAACACACAACATCGGGAATTGGAAACATGAATATCAATGAGAAACAATCTGAAAGGATTTCCCATAACAGGATTAGATGGAGAATGATAGTGGTCGGCTTATGCTCCTCCTGGAAGGGTAACAGGCGTAAGTAAGTAAGGAAATGAATTAAAGTCGCCTGCTTATTCAAATTTTAGAAAAAAAGACTTACCATCAGTGTCTGTGTTTAAGATTTTTCTAATACCGGGAACCATTTCTTCAAGTAAATTACTTGAATTCATTATCATAACACCTTTAATTTCAAGTTTTTGTTTCCAAAATTTAATAACTTCAATCATTTTCACTTGTACCTATAATTAATATTCAAGAAAAGGTTGTTTAAAATATTAAAAACAATGAAATACTATTGTTAAGTGTCGATTAGTGAATCAGTTAATAGATCGATGGTACTGGGTTCGAGTACTAGCTGGAGTGAACATCAACTCTGTGATGCAGGTACATCCAGTTGACGAATCTCAAATGGGACGAAACGCTCGTCTAACTGAATTCCACTACTAGACATCATACATCTTTGCTTATAACTGCATTTTGTATGGAACTTCTCCATCAACCGTCCATCTAATTTCAATGTGTGAATTAATGAAAATCAAGGAAGAATCTGCATTTCAATAAGTATCACTCACTAAATGGACAGAAAATAGTCAAATGTATCAGAGACAATACATTTAGTGAACACTAAAAACTTTACCGAAAACGTTAATCAGTTGTCTAAGACTTCATTGTTCCTTCATTTCCATACTAATCACTTTCTGTTCTCTTCTCTTCGATGTTTTTCAAAGTGCTACCAGACATTTCACTTTTGATTGGTGATACATACTACTTATATCTATTAATATCATTAGCACACACCACACTAGTATTGATGAATAACTGTAATATTTACTTAATTAAGGTCACCACTCACATATTCAATATCTGAGTCACCTTTTTATGCAAACATACTATGCAAACATGCTATTCAGTAAATACAACTGCCTACTCAATGTGATTTATTATAGTTAGGGTAGTCAGAAATTAGAATGATTTAGACACCATAGAAAACTATAAACAGAATCAGTTAAAATAACTGATGTTTGGAAAAAAATTGTTGAGTATTGTCTACACCTCATCATTATGTAATCTATATTTCAATAGTTGAGATGATGAGTCAATTGAAGTTAAACCACCATGGAAAACCTGGAAGCACTGGACGGCCGTTTTGTCATAGTACGGGACTCCTTGGTAGTACTCATCCACGACCCTGCCCCTCAGGATTCGAACCTAAGACCTATCAGTCTCATGATCTCAACTATTGAAATTACTACAATCTCCACAACTATTGGAGGGAAACACGTCTTTCTTATGTATATTGTATCAGTTATTTCGAGAACTTCTAAAAAAATCAATATCTATAAATGATATTAATCATTGATTGTTCTCAGTTAAGATACTATTGAGGAAATGAAATTCTATCCTTACTGTTTACCAGTGATACAAATCTCTCAAAGTACATAAAACTCCAAAGTCAAATTTTACTAGAATCTATCGATCTATTCTTGACGACATACTTCCAATTCAATGACAAAATCTATAAACAAACGAAGGAGACACCGATGGGATTATCAATATCAAGACTTATTGCAGAAACAGTGATGTAGAAACTAGAAACTTTGATCATATCAGTGATCAAGTCAAAAATTTGGATTCATTATGTTAACGGCACATTTGTCCTCATCAAAAAGTACAAGTTGCAAAATATCTACAATTTGATCAACAACATCTTCAATGATATAAAATTCATAATGAAAAAGGAGTTAAACAACAAACTATCATTTTTAGATGTACTAATCACCAGAACGGACACAAGAAAATTGGAGACTCAGGTTTATCGGAAGCCGATTCACATAGATCAAATGCTTAATTATAGTGGTAACAACCCAAGAACTCACAAAATCAACTGCGTACAACTTTTATTCAAGAGGGTGAGAATACACTGAAGTACACTTGCAGCTCAAAGAAATGAAGAGAAATATCCAAAGACTATCTTCCAAAAGAACAGCTACCCAATCAACTTCATCAAAAAGAATCAACCCAACTCATCTCCAGAAACAAAATCATGTACAATAACCAACAAACGGATCATCCTAACACATATAAAAGATATATCAGAAATTACAACGAGATTGTTGAAGCCGTTTGAAATAGATGTAGCATACAAAGCAGTAAAATCACTTCGAACAATCCCATACAAACCAAAAGACGACATCACGGAAGGAGAAAACCAAACATCATCTATGAAATAAACCAAGAATCAAATCAAAATGAGATATAATCAAAATAGAGAAGTAGACAATTGCAGGTTAAATGTCAACAATAACCAATCAAGCTCGAAGTCAACAGGACAAACTGTAATAAATTTGAACACTCTATCTCTACTTGAAGTTTGTACTGATGATATTTTTCAGAAGAACAATAAGAACTTCACTACCAAGCCATTCAGTTCAGAAAACAATACTCCATCTAAACTATTGGAAACCAGGAAACACTAGAATCTTGAAGAGTACACGTCGTGAATCGGATACCATAAACTTATAGCACGTAGCAAACGCTTAAATACTGGTTTAATGTCCAGTGGCTTACACTTCAATAATAATATGATCATACAGTTTCATTGGTAACGGCTGCTCTAATGGGAAGCTGTGACTACTGGGAAAAAGCAAGTTTATCTAAATATAATAAAAAAAAATCCGGATAACTTCCAACTACTTAGGCCTGGAAACCGTCTTGATATAGTAACTCAAAAATATGATCTAAAAACGTTACTTCTACATTTAACTTCTAACTGGAGTTGATGTTTATTCCGGGACTCGAAATGGATAACGCGATAGCGTTTGAAGCGAACTGCACTGGATTCGAGTGCTGGAGTGAACATCAACTCTGAGATGCAAGTACATCCAGCTGACGAGTCCCAAATAGGACTAAACGCGCTTTGTCCTTTATTCCACTGATAGCCAACAACCACCTTTGCTTATAATGTTTACGACTTGAAGCAATATCGAGGCAATCCGCAGAGGATGCACATATGCTAACAAGAAACTGGTCAATTGCGGTCCTAAACAATAATGGGAAGATACAAGCAAACAATGCCAAGTGAATTTGACCATCTATACCTTTGTAAGAGCTAAGTGTGATGAGATGTAGATTATTTTCTCTAGTGGGTACTTGTTTCGTGGATGTAGTAAGGAGAAATAACCTCTTTGAAGCAACTCACTCTGTGTCTATCAGTTTATTTGTTCTTGTGAATGAAGTTACATGGGTGATAAAAACTATTCTTCTTTGAAACACAAACTTTATTCTACCTGATTATGGAAAATATTTTTTATATAATATACCTTTGTGGGCCATGGTCACTTTATATTGGTTTTCAGAAGAACCAGAAGCCATCCAGACTTTCACGTGACAACCCGAGCAGTACAGATCAATTCCGTTTCAAAGGAGAACCAGACACCGTATAAGCTTTAACGCTACGATCTAGATAGTACAGCTCAATCCTGTGGCACAACCACACAGGTACCAAGTACCCTGGTGGACCATTCGCAGCATTCATATACACATTCACGTCACATGTATAGTTATTCCGATCAATGAGATTAAGAATCTTCATCAACTGATCCAGTTAAAAAATGGTTTAAATATGTCTAACCATCGTCTACCTCAACGTTGTGGTAGTTTAAAAGTAATTTAAAGACGACTGAACCAAAAACGTATCTCAATCCATAAAGTTATCGATTGTTGGACTTATTCATAATGATTGGTGTAAATTGCCTGATTAGATCAATGTTTGGAGTAGCTGAGTGACATTACTCATGATTAGTTACTATGGAGCAGATACCTTTCTATATCGTAAATTTCAGAATTCCTTTCTACATATCTTGGTACTACCATTTCGGACTATATCTTCGATGTTTATTCTTTCTCATTATAATTAGTACTATGAATACTTTGATACCCTAATTAATCATCTTAAATTTATCTGTTTGTGTGGAAGTCAGGGCTAACGCACAGTTGTATCAGGTTCTACATTGATTATGACTGACTGATACTCCTTGTTGGTAAAATTATTGAAAAGAAAAAGTTTCTTTTTAACTTGAATCATTATTATTTATGCATGAATAAACTTCTATGATTGTTGTTAAATATGAATGTCAAATACTGCTAAATCAATATCATATTGTGAGACAGTAACTCACTTATGACAATGGTGGATGTGTCATTCAGTTTCGTGGATTGGATGAAGTTGGACATTAATAACGTTGGATGCCGGCTCAGTGGTCTATTGGGTATGCGCTAGACCGATAGGTCCTAAGTTCGAATCCCACAGAGCGGGACCATGGGTGCGCACTGCTGAGGAATCCCACGATAGGACAAAACGGTCGTCCAGTGCTTCCAGGTTTTCCACAGTGGTCTAGCTTCAATTGACTCATGATCTCAACCATTGAAATAAAATAAAAAGTTGTAAAAATAGAAAGTACTATAACTTACATTAGGATTACTTAAATTCAATAATGGACTATTTGGATTACCATGTACATGTCGATAGTATGCACGACGAATAGAATCATAAGCATAATGTCGTTTTTGTTGATCAGTTAAAGGCTAAAAACAATAAGCATTACATGTTAATCATATCTATTAGTAAACTGAAAACAATAACAGTTCAATGATCTTATTCAATACTTTACAATGAACAGTTTATGAAATAATAGACAAATATTAAACTAAGTAATCATCGGCCATTTAGGCAGTCAGTCACCTTCAAAGTACGACCAAGCACATGTACACATCGGTCCTAATTGCCAAACCTCATTAGCGCAGCAAAATGAACACCGAATTCATAGAAGTAGTTAATTCAATGGTGGTAATATATAAAGGAAAGATCGCATATTACAGGTCGAAAGAATTAATTCGTAGAAAGAAAGATATCAAGCGACTTTAATCTCATAGTTTATGAGAAGACAGAGAGTGTAAACACCGACGCCATTGTGATCGATTCTGAACCATGTCACTTAGAGTCTCCAACCATTGGTTACGACAGCCGTGTGGACATCAAACAAATACTCTGCACCTACCGACATGGATCAGACTAGATGTTAATGACTTCAAGCACTGATGCTGGACAAGATCCCGTCATATCAGGAAGAAATCAAAGAAAAAAGATAGAAATAAGTTTGGAAAACTAGGAATAAACTCTTCTCCCTTGAAGTTTATATTTGCTCCATTGGTTAATTTGATCTTGTAGCTTATTTTCTAAAAAAATAAAGATAGTTGAGAACATAAAAACCTGCTATAAAAGATTACTATAACCGATTGATCTTTTATTCTGGTAGGGAAAATCTCAAACGATGAACATTTAGTTTAGAACTTGGATTTAATTACTTGTTAACTGATACTTCCACTTGATGTTGAATTTATCAACTAACTATTGAAAGATTTTTTTCTGGTTAGTGTATGAGAACTACAGAGACATCACTCTTCTCTCAATACCAGGAAAAGTATTGAACAGGATAGTGTTAAACAGAATGAAGGACTCCGTAGACGCCCAACTTTGAGACCAACAAGCTGGATTCCGTAAGGATAGATCGTGTACAGACCAAATCGCAACTCTACGGATCATTGTAGAACAATCAATTGAATAGAATACATCATTCTACATCAACCCCCTTGACTACGAAAAAGCATTTGATAGCGTGAACAGAACAACACTATGGAAACTTCTTCAACACCACGGTGTGTCTCAGAAGATAGTCAATATAATACAGAATTCCTATGATGGATTAAACTGCAAAATCGTGCATGTAGGACAGTTTACAGACTCGTTCGAGGTAAAGACCATTGTCTGGCAAGGTTGCTTACTCTCACCCTTTCTCTTTCTCCTGGTGATCGACTGGATCATGAAAACGTCAACATTTGGGGGGAAGTATGGGATACAGTGGACAGCTAGGATGCAGCTGGACAATCTAGAATTCGCAGATGATCTGGCTCTTCTATCACAATCGCAACAACAAAAGCAGCAGTAGGTCTCAACATACACAAAGTGAAAAGAAAGATTCCCCGATACAACACAACATGCAACAATCGAATTACACCTGACGGAGAAGGTTTGGAAGATGTAAAAACCTTTACATACCTAGGCAGCATCAGTGATGAATACGGTGGATCTGATGCAGATGTGAAGGTGCAAATCGGTAAAGCAAGAGTAGCATATCTAAAACTGAAGAAAATCTGGAACTCAACATAACTTTCAACCAACACCAAGGTCGGAATTTTCAATGCAAATGTCAAGACAGCTCTACTGTATGAGGTGGGAACTTGGAGAACTGCAAATATCATCATACAGAAGATATAAGTGTTTATTATCAGTGGTCTATGCAAAATACTTCGGATCCATTGATCAGACATTATCAGTAATAACCTACTGTAGGGGAGAACAAACCAGATCCCAGTGGAGGAAGAAATCAGGAAGAAGCGCTGGAAGTGGATGGGACACACATTGAGGAAAGCATAAGACAAGCCCTCACATGGAATCCTCAAGGTCAAAGGAGAAGAGGAAGACCAAATCACACATTATGCCCAGAAACGGATAGAGACATAAGAAGAATGAACAACAATTAGATAGAACGAAGAAAAAAGGCCCAGGACAGAGTGGGTTAGAAAATGCTGGTCGGCGGCCTATGCTCCACTGAGGGTAATAGGCATAAGTAAATAAGCAAGTAAGTATCAAAAGATGTTTAACTCTGGAACGAGAACTATTCAATCTATATCAATCAAGAAAACAGTAAATGAATAAGTTGACATCTACCATCCTACTCTATTTTATGAAGGTTTATTAACATACCCTCTTTAACTAATCTTGTTCCTGAGTCAAAACAAAACAGTTGAGCTATAACTTAAATTATTTATAGATCATGGTTAAGACTAAACCTTTTTAGGTTCTCAATTTCCACTTTTAACTAATCAAAAAATAAATAAATAATAATCGTGGATACTCATTGCTGAGGAGTCCCACAATAAGACAAAACGACCGTCTACTGCTAACAGGTTTTTCATGGTGATCTAGCTTTAATTGACTCATGATCTCAATTATTAAACTTACTATAATATCCACAAAAACCCCTTCAGATAATAAATCAAAATATTCTCACTAGTGACTGGTTTTAAGACGTATTTCTTGAAGTTCTAGTGAGAAGCAATGACCAGTGGAGTTCAACCGGAACTGTTTTAAAATAGTAACTCACTCAAGACAATCATGAATGGTAGCGCAATTTCATGGATTAGTTCAAGTTAAACATTAACATCGTTGAATACCAGTTCAATAGTCTAAAGGTTAAGCATTCGTGCACAAGATCAATTGGTCCTATCTTCGAATCTCATGAGGCAGAATCATAAATGCGAACTATTGAGAAGGAGTTTCACAATAGAACAAAACGATCATCTACTACTTCCATATTTTTCATGATGATCTACTTTCAATTCACTCATAATTTTAATTATTCATAAATAACAAAAGAAAGTACTACATTATACTTACTTCATTATTAGTCCATATATAAAATGTACTATAATCATTATTATTATTATTATTACTTGATTGACTTAAACGAAACCATTCATGTCTATTACTTGTTGTATAAATTGATAAACCAATTAAAATGGAGATTTTTTGTTGTTTCGATTTTTTTATTATTTGTGGTAAATAATGATTAAATCCTTCTTCAGTTGGATCAATCGATTGATTAATTGTTTCCCAATCAATAATACCATTATTATCAGAATTTAATAAATTTGTAAGTAATATACTTGTAACACCAACCTAAATCAAAGTTGAGGGAAGAGGGGAGAGGGAAGGGGAGAGGGGAAGAGGGGAGAGGGGAAGAGGGGAGAGGGAGGGGAAGGATATAGATCATTCATTTTTTTATTTAAAAAGAAATAATGTAAGTTAATAGAAATTATTTGTATTATTTTCAAATAATGAATAGTTGCTATATGAAATATTCATCATAAGTATCTAAGATACAAGTATAATTTGAGTTCATTCAATGTAAGATTAACATGTACTTAAAAAATGTTTATTATTATAGGTAAATATAACTAGATTCACTTGATATTGGTTTATTTGAATTTCCCCATTGATGTTTAAGACTTCAATTGATCAATCTCTTATTAGTATATGTTCATCCTGTGAAGATTGCCTTGATATTGCCTTAATTTACAAGCAAAAACGGATGGTGTTTAGCAGTGGAATCTAGAGATTCGTTAGCTAAATATACCTGCATCTCAGAGTTTATATTCACTCTAGAACTCAAACTTAGGACATTCATCTGATGATTATTAGGATTCAATATTTAATTAGATAAGGCGATAGTGTTTGAATCGAACGGTACTGAGATTGAGTCTCAGAATGAACATCAACTCGGAGATACAGGTACATTCAGCTGACGAGTCCTAAATAACATGAAACACGAGTGTTAGATTCCAATGCTAGTCACTATCCATCTTTGCTTAGAAATATAACTAGGTATGAAAATGGATAATGTTTAGATAGTAGATAGAAATAAAGTATTTAGAATAGTTTATCGTATACATACTACCTTTATTTATTGGGGTTCAGTTTCATCTTTTACATATAATAGAAACTATAAGGTTTCAACCTAACAACCCAAGTCTTTGTATTTATCCTTTCCTTGTCTGAATAAGCCTAAGATGTTATCGTTTTCTATACCATTTTATTTGTTTATTTTTTTCACTATGTTTTTTTTCAAACATAAGCCTTAATGTCTTATTATTTTATTTATTTTATTTTGACATATAGATATTGGTACAAAGAGGCACCAAATACACACGCGCCACACAAATCTCATTTGATATGTGTGAGGGATGTGATACTGTCCGAGTGTCCAAACCGAAGTAGGTGGTTTTCTTAGGCGGCAACACTCGGAGCCTTAGACCTAAAGGTCTGATCTACAAGGCAATGGAGTAACGTAAGGAGATGCAGTCTCATGGTAGCCGGTCACCAGCGATTGGTTCATACGCCAACTGTTCTCTCGGGATACTGGAGCTAGTCCATGTACACCATCGGTTTGGAATCAGGGTTTTACAACTTCCATAGGTGGACTCTCCAAATCCACCAACCCGGTTAAAGTGCAGGACATTCGCTTTTCGTTTTCTCATTTTCGTAAACAACACCCCTGGTAGGAGAAGGCAGTGAGTAGGATTTCTCTGGCAGAGGCTATATACGCGTGGTCATGTGAGAGCATTTGGAGAGGGAGAGCGGACTCTCCCCACTCTCGGCCGTACTAGGGTATTGGAGTAATTTTCATGAGTTCTAATGCATATTATTTCAGTGTCCATTTTCTCAACACTCACTTCTAATTACAAAGCCATTGATTCAAACCTTTATTATTATTATCACAACTAGTGTGTTGTGTGCTACTGATATCGACAGATATAAGTAGCATGTATCATAAATTGAAAGTTAAATGTTTGGTAGCAGAAGGTTGAAAAGATCGAAGAAAAGAGAATGAGAACAAAGAGCGATTGGTGTGAAAATGAAGGAACAATGAAGTCCGAGACAATTGATTCACATTTAATAAATGAACTATTTATTGTATAGTTCTCAGATTTTACCAAGATATTTTGTAATTTTATGTTCAAATACATTTGGTTATTCCAGTTAGTGTGTTCTCGTTAACTACGCTAATACGTCTGTCATCATACAATAAATTTATACTTTGGTTAATTATGTTTATATTATCCAATTCATTGTTATCGTGAATGCGCAGTGCTGAGGAGCTCCATACTGGGACGAAATGGACGTCTACTGCTTTCAGGTTTTCCATAATGGTATAGCTTTAATCAACTCATGAAACATTAAACAGATCTAGTTTATTGTTATGACTTTGAATCGATTTTACCCCGTGATACTTGTTATGACTTCACCTTGATCTGTCTAGGCTAAACTATGACCTTGACGCGTTAGGCTGAGTGGCTTAACCTTGAGTCTAATACGCGTGAGTTCGAGATGGGGTAGAGAGAACTATTCTAAATCCTGATTGGTTGGCAAGCACGCAAGTGAAGTAAGACAAGACAGTTGGAACACTGAACTCTGGATTCTCCGAATTCGGTTTAGTACAAAAATGTACATGAATAAATAAGTGAATATCTTGACCACGACGTAGGATAATTTGGGAAAATACAGTTATGACCGAAACAGGGAATTAGGGTAGAAAATACAGTGCAAAATATAATGTTTAAATTACAATATTTTTGGGACAAAAAAAGGGTATGCTAATGAATGATACATAGAACGAAAACTCGTGTTATGTAGAATAAGATAGGGACAAAAATAAATATAAGTGTTTTACAGGTTTTGAATGAAATGCAATAACGTCCCAAGAAAATAGCTTTCGTAATTGTCTGGGCTTCTTAATTCCCCCGTTCATAACATTTATAATCAATTCATATATAGATCAAATTGAAAGTTAAATTTTCATGAATGAACTCAAAATACAACTTAATGTTCTAAAATTTTCTTCTTACAATTACCTAACTATTATCATACAAATTTCATGATAACCTTTAAGGACAGGCTCAAATACATATTTTCAATAAACTTAAGATATAGTAATCATAGTTATGTAGGGTATTACATGATCTTTTAGTTAAGAGAAACAATAATCCAAAATTTATAAAAATTTAATGAAACGAAATAGAAGTATACATTGAAACACAACTGAAATAAGTCAGTCAGTCAGTCAGTTGTAACGTAGGACCAAGCATATATATATGCATCAGTTCAAGTTGTCATACCTCATTAACACAACAAGATGAACACCAAATTCATAGAAGTAGTCACTACAACAGCTTCCATTTAGAGGGGGGAGAAACATATCTCTAACATCTTGTCATTGTTGTTCAGTGCTACCAAATGATCTACCCCAAACAGGACTGTACCATCTGCGTATTCTAAGTTAATAAGTGGACTATCTGGTAGGAGATCAATTTCTGAAAATTCAGTCGATGAGAACGTTATTTCCAATAATAGGTCTATGACGAAATTAAACAAGAACGAAGATAGTAGAGGGCTTGTCGGATGACAGTTCACCATAATCTCTGACTTGATTGGTAGTGTTCGAGTAAAGATCCTACACAAGGTTTATGTAACAAATGGAATAAACTATCAATCGAACAAATACACTAACTGCTAATATTGTCGTTTTTGATGAAACGTAAAGAATACCTTTTTAGGAAAAATGTACTAGTATGTATACAGATAACATTTTAAAGAAAACCGTTGTTTTAGTTCAAATAAAGGATTTCAATTAGAAAAACTTGAAAACTGAAAAGAGAATTCAAGACTAGGATGAATGCTTATAAGTAAAGATGATTGTGATTACATATCAGTCCTACAGGAGGTCAGTCGCAGCCCGGATAGCTCAGTGGTAACGTCTCTGACTGTGAAGCTGGTTGACACGGGGTCGAATCCTCCAAGGGGCACCAGTTCCCTCAAGGTTACAGGCACACCTTGCTGATGAGTGCGAAGTAGCACGAAACCCGGGTCCAGGGTTTCCTGTCGACTACCTCCAACCACCATCTAATCTTAAAGATGAATAGTGGCTAGCAGCGGAATACAGGACAAAGCACGTCTCGTCCTGTCTAGGACTCATCAACTGGATTTACCTGTATCCTAGAATTCATATTCAAGACATAAACAAATAACAATAAGTGAATTTAGGATGAATGTTGTTTGATTTTTTTGGTGTTTTTTAATCATTGATTTACCATTTAGATTATTTCAAGTTAAAAGAGATTGAGAGAAAAGTTAATTGTTTGTACTATTGAAATAAAATTTTGATCAAAGGGAATTATTTGTAAAGCTCAAACAGACCAATACAAGAATAATATTTTGATTATTAAATTTAATATTACACATTCTGTTAAGTCTGTTTTACATTTTCTATCCTTATTCACTCCACCTCGATTCTTTTGCGTATGATTTTATACTACTTAATAATATTCAGTAAGTAGTTTTGTTCCTAGAAATTGTACTTGCATGTTGTAACGCAAGTTTACATATACTTATAACATTTATTGTCTTGATCATTATAATTACTTTATCTCCATCACTGTAGCAGTCATCCACAATTTTGTGCATGTATTTACCCTTTGTCTAAACGTAAAGGTTTCCATGTTGTTTGCTCTTGGTTCAATTTTTGCTTGTTGGTAAAATGTTAGCAATTTTAGACATAACTATTATATGTTGTAATTATTCTTCATGTTACTGTTAAAGGAAGCCTTTTATTTATTTCGTACAAAAGAACGCTTTAAACGCCAAATATACCTCACAGGTTGAGGTTTATAATCAAATTTTGTTCTGGTGAGAAGCCGTGACCAATGAAGCTAATCCGTGTCAGGTAGAAACAGGTATCTACCTCAGTACAATGGAAGATGGTTGGGCAACTTCATGGATTGGTTGAGGTTAGACATTAACACCACTGGATGCCGGCTCAGTGGTCCAGTAGGTTAAGCGGTTGTGCGCGAGACTGCAGGCCCTGGGTTCGAATCCCCCAAGCGGGATCGTGGATGCGCACTGCTGAGGAGTCCCACAATAAGAGGAAACGACCGTCTAGTGCTCCCAGGTTTTCACTGGTGGTCTAACATCAATCGGTTCATGATCCCAATCAAGAAAAGTAAATCTTGTACATTATTCATTAAAGAACTGCTATTTTAAACAAATCATTGTTTTGAGAACTTCGATTTTGAGCATATCTCCAATGGGAGATTTAGACGATTCGATAGACTTAACAGTTCTTAACTTTGATTCACATTGATTTGAATGCTCACAGTAATTATATCTGATCTAAATGGTGTTCTGTTCATTTGATCTAACAATGACAAAGATCAGGAAAGAGAAGTACAATACAAACAATTTAGAAGAAACATATGATTCGATCGTTGAAATTATTGTTCCTCCAGCCTTTAAAGTGAACACACATTAATAATATGAAACCAAACTCTAAAGATATTTGTTATGTAGTCTAACCTTATGTAAGTATCAAACATAGAGTAGAAGAAAAAAGGAATCAATTCTTAAAGAGATAGAAGTAGAAATCATTGAATCAGAGATTAGGCAGTTTGAACTTCACAAACGATTATTAAAATTACAGCAGATACATCTTAACAAGGTGAATTGAACGCTTCAATAGATCTAACAACAAAAAAGAAAACAAAACACACATATATATACAACTGATAGCTCCTGGGTTCAAATCTCGCAGGAGTGGAGGGCGACATCATGGATACGCATTGTTGAGGAGTTTCATACTCAGGAACGATTTGAATGTGACCAACTTGGCCTCGTGTGCTGTTACGCGTATGAGGGCTGATGTCACTTCCCGGCTGCCCACACCATGGAAGGGTATTTCTGGAGGAACCCGAAAAGGTAGTTAGATTAATGTTGGCCTTAACGACCTGGGAGCGTGACTGCAGAGCCCACGAGACAACTGCTTGAGGCCGGTCGCGCACGGTCTTTTCGTGGGAGGTTTTTAATGTATTAGCTCCGTTATTCAAAAGGCCTTACCACCGGAGACGGAAATCCGTGAGGTAGGGTGGGGTCTGATATTATTAGGGTCGACCTTTTCTAACCCCACCCCTCCTTGTGGGAAGGCAGCATCGCTGCAGATGTTGGTTGTCCGAGGGAAACACGTTACTGATGTCACACCCCTCTACAGTCAGCAGTACGACTTCGCCCTCAAACCTTAAGTTGTTGGTTTTAGTCTTACCATTCTCCAATCGACCTGCCTGGCATCGTAGAACCTACAGGAACATATGTTTCAGCCAATATAGCTCGGTTGGGTCATCACCTTAGGCAAGTCCGACCACCGCGTCAAGGTAGCAGCTACGGTCGGGGAGTCTCAGGCTAAGATGAAACAATCATCTAGTGCTTCTAAATTTTCCATGATGATCTAACTTTTGTTGACACATATGATTTCTATCAGAATGTGTTTTGTGGAGATTTTTAGAAATTTTCACAGATTGAACTCATGAGTCAGTTGAAGCTAGACTACCATTGAAAACCTGGAAGCACCGGACGGCCGTTTCGTCCTAGTATGGGACTCCTCGGCAGTGTGCATCCACGACCCCGCGCCACCCGGGGCTCGGACCCAGGACCTACTGGCTTCGCGCGCGAGCACTTAACCATTAGACCACTGAGCCGGCATCCAACGGTGTTAATGTCTAAGTCTAGCTTCAACTGACTCATGAGTTCAATCTGTGAAAATTTCTAAAAATCTCCACAAAACACATTCTGATAATAATAATCACCTGCTCACTAGTGACTGACTTCAGGAGACACTTCTGGAGTTCTAGTGAGAAGTCGTTACCAGTGGAGTTCAACCAGGTCTGTTGCGAGATAGGAACTCACTGAAGACAATGGTGTACGGTAGCGCAACTTCGTGGATTGGTTGAGGTTAGACACTAACACCGTTGGATGCTGACTCAGTGGCCTAGTGGTTAAGTGCCCGCACGCGGGGCCAGTAGGTCCTGGGTTCGAATCCCGCGGGGTGCGGGGTCGTGGATGCGCGCTGCTGAGTCCCGTACCGGGACGAAACGGCGGTCCAGTGCTTCCAGGTTTTCCATGATGGTCTAGCTTCAATTGACTCATGAGTTCAATCTGTGAAAACATATGATTTCAACGATTAAAATTATTTAAAAAATTTTCATAACTTACTTGATTCACTAAATAATCTATACGTGGTATTATATCTTGTAATCGACCAATAGGTCCTTGTACATCATTTGCCCATGTTTCAATATTTATTTGATATATTAATGAACGACGCCACCATGGTAATGCATATGGTAAATTTGGTATATTTGTTTTATATATATAAATAATTCCAATAATTATTCCAATTATAATTAATGGTATTAATACAATAGTTAAAATGATTAAAATAATAAACATTTTCATACTTAAACCTTTAGGTGGTTGAAATCTCCTAGATTTGCAAAAAGAGAAGTAAATGATAAATTTAAATACATATAATGTAATTGTTATATTGATCAAACAAGATTTTATGAATATAAAGGACTATATGATTGTTCTATAGTTATTTCATTGACTCCTGTTACCTTTCGTCGAAGAGTACAGATTGACAATCAGCATTCCTTATACATTTATTATTTACTTATTTGAACACCTAAATATTGGTACAAGGAGGCACCAAATACATATGCGCCACATAAATCATTCTACTTGTGTGAGGAGTGTCCGAGTGCCCAAACCGAAGCAGATAGTTTTCATAGGTAGCCACATCTGGAGCCTTTGACCTAAAGGTCTGGTTCACAAGGCAGTGGAGCAACGTCAAAAGATGCAGTCACATAGTAGCCGGTGACCAACGATTGGTTCATACGCAATTTGTTCCTTCAGGATACTGGAACCCATGTGCACGATTGGTTTGGAATGAGGGTTTTACAACTTCCATAGGTGGACTCTCCATATCCACCAACCCAGTTAAAGTGTCGAACATTCACTTTTCGTTTTCTCAATTTCGTAAACAACACCCCTGGTAGGAGAAGGCAGTGAGTAGGACTTCCCTGGTAGAGGCTATATATGCGTGGTCATGTGAAAGCATTTGGAGAGGGAGAGCGGACTCTCCCTACTCTGTGCCGTACAAGGGTATTTGAATAATTTTTTTGGAATTGCTATTTATTTTTTTCATGTTTACTTTCAATTCCCGACACAATGTGTCGGTCTTCCTTTTTTTCTATTTCCATTCACAATTTCAAGTTAATGTTTGTTACATGATACAGTTTGGTGATTTATTCAATGTGTGTTCTATTCATTTCCAACGTCTTTTCTAATGTAAACTTATGACTTTCAATCTAATGATTAATGTTTTTATCTCTCATTATTTCATGATATACCTTGATAGTTATTCAGATACTGATTATGATTGTCCCACTTATAAAAGGTTTGGATTCCATAAATCAATAATATTCCCCCTTATATGATAACTTGTGATGAGTACTTATTTACTTACGCCTGTTAATCCTTGTGTGGAGGAACATAGCACGACCAGCAGCACTCTCTATCCAACCCTGTCATAAGCAATCATTTCTACTGGTTTCCAAATGCTACTCATTCTTCTCATGTCTGCTTCCAATTCTTGGCACAGTGTGTTATTCGGTCTTCCTCATTTCCGTTTTACTTCAGGATTCCAAGTTAACGCTTACCTCGTCATGCAGTTTGATGATTTCTTCAATGTGTGTCCTATTCACTTCCAACGTCTTTTCCTTTTCAACTGGAAGTTGGTTTGTTCTCTCACATAGTAGACAGTTGTTGATGGTATTCAGTCATCGGACATTGAGTATTTTGCGTAGACAACTATTCATAAATGCCTGTACCGTTTTGATGATGGTTGTGGTAGTTCTCCAGATTTCAGCTCCGTACTATAGAACTAACTGTCTTGATGTTCATATTGAAGATTGTGAATTTGATATTGATTGAAGGTTGTTTTGAGTTGCATATATTCTTCAACTGTAGGAATGCTGTTATTTCATTGCCAATCCTCACCTTTACGTCTACATCGGATCCTCGACGTTCATTGATGATACTGTGCAGGTGCGTGAAAGATTCCACTTCTTCCAGAGTTTCTTCCTCAAGTGTGATTGGGTCTGTGTTCTCTGTGTTGTATTTGAGGATCTTGTTTTTCCTCTTGTGTATGTTGAGGCCTACTGATGCATAGGCCGCTGCTATACTTGTTGCCTTGATCTGCGTTTGTCGGTGTGTATGGGATAGAAGGGTCAGGTTATTTGTGAAGTCCGAATCGTCTATTTGCATCCAAACTGTCTATTGTATTCCGTAATGTATACTAGTGATAAATTAAATGAATACTCAAGAAGGGATACGAACATATACGTAGTTTTGGAGTTACTAGTGACCTGTTTCAAGTTTAGTGCTCGAGTTTTGAATGATAATCCATACCAGTGAAGTTAAATCACGTTAGAAATGAGATATTCTATCTTTAATATTAACGAATGATCAGCAGACTAGATTGCAAAGTAATGAGTGTTAGAGGTATGGGCAATTCTAGTCTAATTCAAGATCATAACTTTATTGACAATCATTCGTAATCCATCTATATTATTGGACAGCGATGTATATATCTTCAATAGCTTTTTAATGATAGAAGTGTTACTCATGGGAATGTAGTTTTATTCTCATCCCTTTTAAGAAACATTGTAGTAATTTCACATGAAACAACATTCTCTATTTAAAATTGCCTCATCTGGATTTATAGGCCTGTCAACAGAAAGAATCTGTGATGATTAGGAGTATTTGAATTAAGATACAAACTAGGAATCCCGAAGTAACTCAATTTAACCAAAAAGAACGATATAAGCATATTGTATTGGAAATTGGAAATCAGTCAGTTATCAAGTTTGTACAAACATCGCATCCGACACAGCTTAAATTGGAGTCTAAGTTTTTGTAATCGATTGTACGTCTTCATCATGTGTCTGTCCAACAGTGTCAGTCAGTGAGAGAATAGGCAGAGACGACGAAGAGCAACGACGTGTGTCCCTATCTTTCCGAGTCATTACTGTTCCGTTTAGTCTGACAGTGCACAAGTGACTGTCTAGGAGAGATAGGACTCAATGCTATACCTACACCAGCGAGACCACGGGAAACAGCATGAGGGCTTTCAGGTACACGAAGTCAGCTGTACGACTTCGCCCTCAGACCTTGAGTTGTTGCTTTTAATCCTACCGTTCTCAAATTGACCTTCCTGGCATGGTAGAACCTACAGGAACATATGTTCCAGCCAATATAGCTTGAATGGGTCATCACAATAGACAAGCTCGACCACCACGTCAAGGTAGCAGCTACAATCGGGTGTCCGACAGTGTATTGGACATAGACACTGTATTGTCTAGAATGTACGTTACCGGGTTCCAGTCTCACAGTGAATGTCAATTCTGAGATGCAGGTACATCCAACCGACGAGTCCCAAATAGAACGAAACGCGTTTTGTCCTGGATTCCATTGCTAACCGTCATTCATCTTTGCTTATAAAGCTCGTGACGTAAGGTAATATCGAAGTAATACGCACAGTATGCACATATATATCAATGAGAGACTGATCAATTGTCATTCTAAACATGAATGGGAAGATACAAGTAAAGAATACCACCAAGCGGAATTGAAACATCTATAACTTGTTTTAAAATCTGCAAACAGGAAAAAACTCAGTGACAGAATGATCAAATAAGCTAATTATTCCGGTGTGTCTAATACTCACCAACTAGAGAGAGACGTCCAGGTTCAGTAGATGAAAAATGTGTTCCGAAAACAGCCAGAAGCACATATGTATATAGCATAAATGTGTCCTTGGGGAGCGTGACCAATGACATTCAACGTCCTCTCAAGTGGGAAATACGATAGGAAGGTGAAAACGAGCGCTTTTTGGCACGAGAACTGATAGCGGGACGTAGATTGGATTAAAGCATGTTCAATGCCCGATTGCTTTGGTGCACGCTGATTGGCTAATTGTTGCCCAATCAGTGTTAGTCGAGACTTGAAGAATACTCTAGAAATCCTCTCATGTAAAACGTATCAACATACTAACGTTTTTCGCATTATACTTCTTACTTCCATCTAACCTTTTTATTTGGAATATAGTCTCTTTCCTGTTCAACCGTGTTTTTGTTTGGGGACTTGTCGAGTGAACTGGTGTCCAAGAATACGAAACAATAGGAATAGCTGGGTTATAATGTTGCTAAACATTAGTTCACTATGATATTAGAGATAATTTAATCAATATATAAATACAATGAAATGTCAACGAGATAGTAGTTTGTATGATTATATAAAACAATACGATATATTTATAGAGTTGTCAGTGAACAGAGTCTTTTTAAGAAGAGCTATTGAAATTTATACTTGAGAAGATGAAAAAATGGAACCGAAGAATGTAACAAACAGTTTGATGTTAAACAATCAATCGAATAAAATACAAATTGGTACTGTAGTTTTACTTCAACCTGATTAGACGATATAAAAAAATAACGCCAAGTTTTCAAACTAAACAGAATTAAGGCCTTCCAAACGACAATCAAAATCCCTTAGTTTGAATTAAGATAAAAGATCCTCCATTGCTTCTACAAAAGACCATGTGTATAGACTAGGTTTTTGCAATTGTGATACCTTCTATTTTATAAAGTCGTCTCGTCATATAATGTTTTGTGCCACAGAACATCTAAGCTTTGTGGATTAGGCCTTTAGATCAATGGCTTGGGGTGTGGCTTCCAAAGAAAACCACCTACTTCTGTTTGGGCACCCAGGCAGTATCCCAGCCCTCACATTATTCGAATGATTTATGTGGCGTATATCCATTTGATGCCTCCTTGTACCAATATTTATGTGTTTAAATAAGTAATTAAATAAATTGTGAGTAATATCATTTAGTCTCTCTAGAGACAATTCGTTATAGATCCATTAATATCAGTCAGTCATTCAGTCAATCAGTCAGTAACAACGTAGAAATTCGTACGTACGTACGTACATTAGTTCAATTTACCATACCACATTAGCACACATACAATTGTCTATTTAAATCCCATAGTGGTAGAGGTTACTTACTTACTTACTTACGCCTGTTACTCCCAATGGAGCATAGGCCGCTGACCAGCATTCTCCAATCCACTCTGTCCTGGGCCTTCTTTTCTAGTTCCATCCAATTCTTGTTCAGTTTTCTCATGTCTATCTTCATTTCCCGGCGTAATGTGTTCTTTGGTCTTCGTCTATTCCTTTGGCCTTCAGGATTTCATGTGAGGGCTTGCGTCGATGACGCAGTTGGGTGCTTTTCTCAATGTGTGTCCTATCCACTTCCAGCGCTTCTTCCTGATTTCTTACTCCATTGCGATCTGGTTTGTTCTCTCACAGTAGGTTGTTGCTAATAGTGTCCGGCCAACGGATCCGAAGTATTTTGCGCAGACAACTGTTAATAAATACTTGTATGTTCTGGATGATGGCTTTCGTAGTTCTCCAGGTTTCTGCCCTATACAGTAGAACTGTCTTGACATTTGTGTTGAAAATCCTGACCTTGGTGTTGGTTGACAGTTGTTTTGAGTTCCAGATGTTCTTCAGTTGTAAATATGCTGCTCTTGCTTTACCGATTCGCGCCTTCACATCTGCATCAGATCCACCCTGTTCGTCAATGATGCTGCCCAAATACGTAAAGGTTTTTACATCTTCCAAATCTTCTCCGTCAATTGTGATTGGATTGGTGCATTCTGTGTTGCATCGGAGAATCCTGCTTTTCCCTTTGTGTATATTGAGACCTACTGCTGCTGAGGCTGTTGCCACACTGTTCGTCTTCTCCTGCATTTGTTGTTGCGTTTGGGATAGAAGGGCCATAGTGGTAGAGTTATTAAGAGTATAAGCAGTAATCGGAAACATTAGGGTTTGAAGATGTTATTCAATAAGTATAATCCATTGAAATAAATTTGGAGAGAAAAAATAAGAGACATGAAAAATTCAGAAGATTAGAATTTGGTAGATCACAAAGAGTAGATGCATCTGTGCCATTACAATCTACTTTGAACCATGACCAATAGATAGACTTTTTGAATCAACCATTAATTGTGATCATCTCCTGAATCCTAGCCAGATAGTCTACATGTATCAACATGACTCAATTCATCTATCAATAACTTCATGAATTTGTCCTATGTGATCCATAAATATCAATATATAAGTATCAACAAAAAACATAACACTAATAAGCAATCATGGATAGTAGCCAGCAGTGAAATCCAGAATGCGCGTTTCGTCCTATTTGGGACACGTCAGCTGGACTGATCAATTGTAGTCTTAAACCTCAATGGGAAGATACAAGCTAAACAATACCAAGTGAATTTAAATTCACCCCATTGCACAAGCATGTGGCTATCAGGACTCAATAGCTGAGTGAATAACGTGATGGCGTTTGCAAGCAAATTGTACTGGGTTCGAGTCCCAAAGGGAACATCAACTCTCAGATGCAGGTACATCGAGCTGACGAGTCCCAAATAGGACGAAACGCGCGTCAAACTAGATTCCATTGCTAGCCACTATCCATCATTGCTTACAAAAACGCTTATGAATGAAGGCAATATCGAGACAATACACATAAGATGCACATATACCAATAACAGAATGATCAATTGATCAGTTTTAAAACCTCAATGGGAAGATACAAGTCAAATAATACCAAGTGAAAAAAAACACTAATCAATTATAATAATCAATAAATTATTCAATCAATACTTTTCAATAATTAAAAATCAATTACTTTTGATTTTTTTTATTTAATATAGTTTGTTTTAATAATGCCATTTTATTAATAACTGCTCCATCATCCATAACTACATTATGTTTTTGTACAAATCCAATTAATTCTGGTTCCATATTATATAATTGATTAGTTGAATTATAACATTTTTTCATTTGTTCATAATTAATTTCATCAGTAGTATATCCATTGATTAAATTATTTCTTTCTATATGATCATTATGATCATGTACATGATCATGATCTCGATCATCATTATCATTATTATAATCAGTACAACTTCCTGAATAATCTAAATTTTCATGTGTAATAGACATGATACAATATGTAAATTATCAAATAGATACCATATTTTAAATAGTGTACAACATATCCAGATATATATATATATATATATAATTTGTTTTAATCAATGACTCAATGTACAAAAAACAAGAATACTTCACTCTGATTGGTTAATACGTTTATCAAGGTCAGCCCGTTCCTATAACTACAGTTGTGTATTGACGACCTTTGAAGAAAAAAAAATTATGATCGATAATGAGTCATGTATGTTAGTGAAGAAAGGTCAATTATCGATTAATGTCTTCAATAAATGTGGCATAAACAAAAATGGTATCATTATATATATATATGTGGAAGAATAGAAGGAAACCTTTGAAATAAAAAATGTGATTTTATAACAAAGATAAGATATATTACTTATTTCTTGTTAGTTAGTAAGTAATATAATATTTAGGTGATTGATTAATTCAATGATTCTAGTGTTCTCATACAGAATCACTTGGAAATGTTTCATTTGCAAAATGTCAATCAACGACCGCACAATTCATTGTTCCTTCTAATCATTCTGTGTTCTTGTTCACCTCTCTTTGATTTGCTCAACCGTCTACTGTCAGGTATTTCATTTTCGATTGATGATACATACGACTTATATCTGTCTATATCAGTAGCATACAATATACCAATTGTCTCAGACTATGTTATTTCTTCATTATCATTCTAATCATTCTGTGTTCTTGTTCACCTCTCTTCGATTTTCTTAACCATCTGCTGTCAGGTATTCCATTTTCGATCGATCATTGATATCTACAATTTGTACCATTGACTTGTAACTGACTAATTTCACGATCAGTACAAAATCATCTTGGATATAGGGAATTGAATGAAACGTCTATAGATCGAATCCTATCAGTAAACAAGGAGATTTTAAACGATAATCAAATTGAGAACAACAAACCAAGAGACAACCACTGTTTTATATGCAGATTTATGATGATGATGTATGTGCATAGTGATTAAGCTTTTGAAAGCTTGGTAACTATTACACAGAAACCATCATTTACTGTTTAGCTTTCAACGAAATAAAGGAAAGTCACAATAGGCAGTAAAAAAGTAATTTATTGACTCAATAATACATTGGTAATAGTTGGATTCATAAAGCTAGACCACCTTGGAAAACCTGGAAGTACTAGACGACTGTTTCATCCTACTATGGGACTCCTCAGCAGTGTACATCCATTCATGAATTCAATTACTAAATTACTACAGTCTCCATAAAACCCATTTCTGAAAATATTATTTGTCAACTGACTAATGATTTATTAGTTCTACAGAGAAACTAAGAAAGAAATACTAACATGCAATTCTAATTCCTGTTAACACTTCTATCCTACGGGTGTATAACATGATAGTAACCAATGTTATTACCGATTCATTCTTGACAGAATAAAATGACACAGTTTAGTCCGAGTTTAGATTGATATCGTGAATAGATCAATGTTAGATCATCACCGGAAACCTGTAAACACTGGACGGCCTTTTCATCCTAGTATGGAACTACTCAGCAGTGTTCATGTACGATCTCGTATGTAGGACTCGAAACCAAGACATTCGGGCTAGCGTGCGATCGCTTAGTTTCTAGACCACTGAGCGGTGTTTACGTCTAACTTCAATCAATTCACTCAGTCGCGCGACTGTCCATCATTGTCTTCATTGAGTAATTGACTTACAACAGACCTTGGTTGAACTCCACTATTCACGGCTTCTGACTAGAACTCCGGGAAATCCATCTTGAAGCTAGTCACTAATGAACACATGATAATTATCAGTATAGGGTTATGGAAATTGTTGAGTTTAGTTTGACACCACTAACGCGTAATTCTAATTTCTCTTAATCATTCTATCCTACAGGTGTATAACGTGATAGAGTTTAGTATTT